CTTATGCAAGCTACTTGTCAAAACAGCACTAAACTGAGCATTATTTCTTGTTTTTCCACGTCCANAGAGCGAATGTACACTCATTTGCAAACAAATTTCGTTCTTTCGAGAGACTCACCTGGAACCCAGCTGAATCTCTCGTTTATGATGTTCTCAGTCTCAAGAGGAGGAACCATCAAGTGGAACCATCAGATGAACCGAACAAGAAGAACTAGACCCTAGGTTGGACCCGAACATTTGTAGGTTTCCCCACCGACCCAACGGTTGCTCAACCACTCTAACACACTAAAATCCCTCGGCCGACACCCAACAGAGATTTAGCTTAACTTAGCTGATTGGTTCTCCTTCCGACTCAAATCTCGACCAACCTCGTAACCTAGTCACTTGGCCTGATGAAGCTTTTGTATCAAAAGCGAAACGTTGCCCAGCAATAAATCTACTGATTGTCACTAAACTTTTTCGAAAACGAGTACCACCTAAAGTTTTTCAGTCGTGTCTGTCCACATCTCACGTTCTGAGACTCAACTAAGTAGCAGAAATTCACGTCTGCGAGCCGACTGAATGAAGTTTGGAAATGATCTTTCCAAGACACACAGACTTGCTCACCAGTTGTGGCTTTTGGACTTGATACATCGTTCCTAATCTCTCTTCCAGTTTGACACAACTTCGTTCCACAAAGAAATCAGCATGTGACTGAATACTTTCACTTTGTCGGATTTCCATCCATTCCTTGCCTCCCGTAGGTGTTTCAGTAGGCCAGCCCTTGAGGCTCGTGTCCAGTTATTTTGATAAAGGCTTAATTCTCTGTTTATTGATAAATCCTTAACGCCAAACAGTTGCACCTTTACCCTTGAATATATTACTATTGAGAGCCACCGGATTTCATATGAGCTTTACGCTTGGTCACCAACAACCTTCCACTTGGTGACCTGGTAAAAGTTCAGTGAGATTCTCCGGGTTTTGCATTTCTACATGTTTTGGTTAGTTTTACCCACCGTACTGGATGCAAGATTTTTCCGTGGAAAAAAAACATAACTTGGCGCATGACAAAGGGAGTCACAACACAATCAGCTCCATACATTGCTCTCTTTATCGGTGCGGCATCCAGATATCCCGGCAATACAAAAATGATCTCGAGGATCTCCGCATCAATTTTTTTAGTAGATTCACCAGGCGAAGGACATTCACCTCGAGTTTAGACATTTCTCTCAAAGAAGGACTCAGTGCTGTTCAGTCACCATTATCTTTACACTGCTGCTATTTATTGGGCCAGTTAAAAAGCTCTTTCATACCAGCATTCGCCCGATCGTATCCGAAAAGTTTTGGCACAACTTTCCCGTTCCTCGCTAAGAATGGACATCCTAGGAGGCCTACCTATTGATAAATTTGACTACTGCAATCGAATAAAATGCATTCATGCTCCTATACATTTTACTCTTTCGTTATTTCTTAATTCATCTGGCCTATTTCTTTGAATCCAAGCAAGCGATCAGATGTTGTTTCATCCAGGAATGTCAAATATTTACTTGAACACCAGCCGTGCTTACTGGACACACTATTTTTATAACTTTATATCGATAGCACCGCTCTTTTCGTGTTTATTCGTTTATTTTTCTTCGCGTTTCAGCAAGCAACAATGTTCCTCCTTCCCAACGCTATCGAAATAATTAAATGAATCTTGCTAGTAAGAGTAAAACGTCAAAAGTGGAAATGACCTGGAATCGGTCCGAAACCCCACCCGTTACATGCCCACATTCTAACGACGGACGGAATTTAGCAGGCAGTTCTGCTATTAGATACCAGAATACTCTAATGTGGATCGGTTATGTGCCGTTTACTATGGAGCTTTCAGCCGCGTGCACAGAGAACCAGACGGTCACAATCTAAAGTATGGGAGAATTCTCATAAATTTTATTAAAGTCCCGTGCCACCTCTGCTAACATCTCGTCGCTTTTTTCCTCAGAACCGCTGAGCAAAACCAGATACCTAAACGAACCCAAGTTCCGATTAATATGATTCCTACTGATAAAACCGTATGAAGTAAACACTAAAATTTGAAAAATTGTCAGGAGCATTGTTCGAAAACGGTTAAAAGGCAACGTCACCCAGTGCTTCAACTAAAAGACGGAATGTACATTATAACGACGGTAATCTCCAAACCATTCCCAATGTTTTAAAAGAATCAAAACTAAACTGGGGGAGCTCGATTCCCACCCCATTAAACTCTAATAAAGGTACAAACTATTTCATTTTTTTTTCAATACTCTTTTGGGGATATATTCATGGCGCAAGGTAGTAAGCTATAAGGCTGCGTAATCCAATTTGTGTTCTGGCATCTATGTTATCTTACCGTCCTTCGTGTAAGTGTCTATATTATAACAATTTGCACGGTAATCACAAGTTTTACGTTGTTCACAGCTGTTTATCGCATTCTGGAAATACCGGCCTCCTTTTAAATTTCATAGGACACTATATCCTGGAGCTACCAAAATCCTCTTCAATACTGGATTTCAGACTTGCCTTCCTTAAAACAGTATCAATAAATCCCTTTATAAGTGTCCTGCTTTGACCCTTCAAACTGAGAATGCCACCAGTCGTTTCTTTCGAGAATTCGGAAATCCAATGAACTACAACTCACGCGAATTGAACGACAAATTTTCTCTGTTAACCGGACTTTCAAAGTGCTTGGCCATGCAGAGCCGCATGCACCTCTGTTCTGTCAACTCGAGAGCTGGATGGGAACATTCACCGTAGACGATCGTGCACGTTCCGAACAGCTCACGGCAATTTGTTGACAATATAAAGGCTCAAAAATTTAGTGTGGTGAATTTTTTCCACAGTCTAAGAAATGATTTCATTGCTTCGTCTACATAAATTCAGTTAGACCCTGGGAGAAACATAATTTCCGTTTTTTTAGTCTTTTTTATTCGTCGAAGAAGTATCCGTTGTTTGCCTCAACCCCTGAACCCATAACGAATTATTAGATTTCGTGCCACCTTCCGACGGGTGCACCGTAGGAATCTAATTTTCGCTATTCTCTCGGGGTAATAGTGGTCAAATATTTTAAGTGACTTCAAAGTGGCAAGTGATTTATTACCACTCGCTCAGTTTCTCAGCTTGCGTAAAATGATACCGAATAAACAAATGCTGACGTAGATAGATGTAAATGTTTTGAACCGACGTTTGCTACGTTCGCTAGATTCACAAGGGTCACATGAGAACTGTTTTCTGAAGGATACACTGATGCAGCTTCTTGAAAATGTGACCACGTTGGTTCGTTACTCTGTTTATCACTGCGGTTTCCGGAGTTGCCTAAGCTACCAGCTATAGTGGCCAGCCTGCACGTGTCCAATCTACACGTGTTCATCCGCAGCAACCCGCTCTGAGTAACTCGAGGATAAGCGTTTTGTATAGCCAACACGAAAAGTGTAGATACTCATCAGAGTACTTAGTGTGCATTCGGTGTGATAATTTCAGTTAATCATATCATAGACCACTTTTTTCAATTGATACTGATCATCAGCCGGCTATAATGTCCAAATTCACCCTGTTAACAGCTTGCAAGTACATTTCGGAGTACCTACGGCACACAAGTACTAAGATTTAGGGGTCAAACTAACCGTGGTCTTATACGAACGACTCATCGCGGGTCATATTGAAGAAGACTAGGTGCAAACTTATTGTTTGCGTACAAAAGTTTTCAAGTGTTTGTAATGCTATGCTATCGGGAAGTTTTGAAAGGCCGGTCAGTCGACTGACATAACCAGTGCAGTTACGGAAACTTTGATCGAGACGTAGGGCAAACCAACCAATTTGGTCGAGCGTAAACAAACTCGGACATTCAAGTGCATCCAGTATGCGCTGGTGGAGCACTGGTGCTACTCTCATCTCGTATTTCAGCTATCCAAGGTGCAAACCTTGGGGCGATCAGGGATATGCACCACTGCTGACTCCTAATAAGAGCAAAATCTGAATCCAGCAGTTACTATTGTGTGAGCTCCCCAGAATTACCATACCAGAACAGGTGAAGGCTTTCTGATGCAAAAATAATGTGAACTCACATTCCACAAGCGTACTTTGCCTAACAAAGGATTAGTAGGTGTCCAGTGCTTCAACCACAGTTTGCTGGCTAATACCATCGGATACAAGCACTGATGCTACATGTCCCTTTACTGTTTAATTAACCAGTGACTAATCATCTCATGCCTTTGTAAATGATAAATTTACAGAGTAGATGTCTTTACACACCGATTGTTTCACCTAAACCTAGCAACCTAAGGTTTTCATGATGAAACCTGATCTTAAACTAGCCGGGAAGCTGAAATACTTTCCTAAGTGGATGTTTGGCGAGTTCTAAAGTATAAACACTGAGCGAGATTGACTAACAACAATTTCCCACCTAAACTTCTGCTCGCCTGAAACAAAATTTGTTCCAATATTTTGTTCTCCCAAGTGCGCTTAATCTGATTAATATCGGGAAAAGTTCGCCATGTGTGTATCTTGGAGACCAGGAATACTACTATTTTTGCGCAAAATACATTTCCGCATACTGTTGCAAGTGAAGTCCATTTAGGTAAAAAAACTTTCTGAAAAACTACTCGTGTCATATCCTGCCATCAAATGCCCCAGTTCATGTCAGGTACAGGAATCTTAGGCTCTAAATCGCTGCCTAACCGTTTAGTTATCGTTAGCAAAACCGTAAATTTTGACAGAGGTTTGAATTCACACCTAAACGATGTATTATCAAAGATGTCTATTTATAATTCCGGAATATTTGGGAAAATGTTAAAGAACTCAACCGAATACATTCATTTCAGGATCAATGGCTGTTTGAAGGACGAAGTTTTTCAGTGTTGATGGGTATGGGTCACTCCAGCGAAGAACACGCCGGTCGCATGCTACCATGAAGATGACACGATAAAGACAGTTTTGTTCGCCGGTAAAAGATTATATCCCAAAAAAGGACTCCGGACAGAACACGCCTCATTTCAATGACCTACCAGCTTGTTGTGCTGAGCTGCAAACTTGACGTGGTGGTCAGGCTTGAGTGCTGCAATGATCCCGCGGGCTACACTGACTGGAACTTCGTTCCACAAGGTGCAACGTTGCCAGGAAGGCCAAAGGGGAGCAGCCAGACCAAGAGCAGCGAGACTCCGTACTACGAGTAATCGTACTACGAGGCGGTCTGGGGGTGAATTCGTACTGTCTTCTGCGACGAGAAAGTGAAGGCACCAAGTTGTTTCCCCCAGGTGACCAGCATGTCCATATTTATGGAAGCAGCAATGCTGATTTCCACTGAGGAAGCGAAGGTTAGAAAAGGTCGGTCCCATAAAGCGCATACTCCGACCACCCAACAGTTGAACGTGACTGCCAGCGCATTATCCAGTGGTGTCGAAATAATTTTAAAACCAAAGAGCCCGGTGCTGCTCAGAAGGTATCTGCTGTGCGCAGCCGCACCAGGAGTGAGACAGTAATGCCTTATTCCCTGCGCCCTCGGTTTAGGCCAACCCCCTGCAGCCTAGCAGATCAGACTGTTGAGTCGTCGGCTCCGGGTAGGGTCCCCAAAGAAAACCCTACATTTTCCCACTGCCTCGTTGGTCAGACTTTTGAGTCGAAGGCTCAAATTGGGGTACCTCAACCAAACCCCCTTCCTCGGCCTGGGAAACCGGGAAGTATCATTTGTCCGCGCAGTTCGGCGTCCACCGATGTCCCAACCCAACCACTTCCCACCGCATAAGCAAACGTCGCTGGGCCATTTGACTGTCAGCCATCTGACCGAAGGGCCTTATGCTCCTCGCTGCCCACAAACATTAAACAAAATAACAACTTTCTAAATATACGAGATACTTTCTATACAGGAGCTTTTAACGTCCGTACTCTATGTCACATTGGCAAACAGGCAATGCCTGTTGAAACCTTATGCTCCCTTAAAATTTATGTACGCTATGTTTCCAAAACATGCATTGGAGACCCGAGCGTGGTTATGCGTCTCAAAACGCCAAGGATCAATTTAGCTCTTTCACATTTCTCTACCCATGTGTCCAATGACCCAGAAGCCATGACTCGCGGAATATATGGCGTTGGAGTCACACACAACCCCAGAGCTTAACGCACTTTACCGAATCGGATCCCAGGGAACAGTCGTCTTTTTGCCGTCCGGTTATTCGGCTCAATCAAGCTCTATGTCTCTCGGCATAAAAAGCAGTGCCTGTTTGTAGTATCGGCTTATGCCCCAGTGGACTGGAATTGTGATGCTGGGGAGAGAGCTTTCTACCGAGAGCTATTCGGGCTCATTCGTCAGGCGAAATGCACTAACCATCCGGTTATTCAGCTCAATCAATCAATGCTGGGAAAATTGCTTTCTACCGAGAGCTACTCGGGCTCATTCGTCAGGCAAAATGCACTAGCACTGTGATCCTTGCAGGCGATTTGAATGCTCAAGTAGGTCATCTGAGCTCCTTGGAATCACATTTGGGTGGTCGTTTCGGAGTCGATACTCGCCGCACAGACAACGGAGATTGACGCCTCCAGTTGTGTGCTGATCAAGAACTGTTTCTGGCAAGTACGTACTTTCAACATAGACGTAACCTGGCAGCGTTCGGTGCTGACTGTCCAACTTCTCCTATTAGAACACAAGACCACTGGCTGTCTTTGAAATCGCTATCCATGAGTGATGCCAGGGAAGCCATACCAGCAGGCAACGAGTACGACGGCGTAAGCCAATCCCTCAGACGCCAAACACTGAAGAGTTTAAGGAAAGACCAAGAGCTCTGGTGGACATCGAAAGCTCGGGACACACCAGATCTGAAGATGGCTACCGTCTTTTCCTTTGTGGAGTTCTACTGAATTAGAAACTTATAAGTTGCTTCCCGCCAGCAATCCGCGGTGGTCGTTCCGCTATTTGGTTGCGCGGAAGAATTTCGGCCATGACTGAGTGCCCTTCGAGGGAAAACTAACCCGTTTTCACCGAATAAAAGTCGATGTTCACAACTCTCCAACAACCAGTGCAGGTTGTGCAGGGAGTGTACGGAACGGATCATATTTACACTACGTTTTTTTGGTAGAAAAGTTATTCTAGGCTTACATGAAGAAGGGACACACCACGTTCGATTGATCTAATTGAGCGTCCGCTTCAGAGTAGCACACCAAGTTCGTCATTGTTAAAAATGGGACAGTGAAAAAAAGCTTCAGGTTTGAAATGTATAAATCCTCCGAACAACCAAACGCCAAAGAAGTGGTTGAACATGGTTGAACTTATTCTGGCTAATCGTCAATCTCAGATATCACTGCGTGCCTACGACACTCAGCTTCGTGCGTCGTCCTGAGTGCATACGACACTGTCTGGTTAATGTACGCATGGCGCATCACAATTACCATGCATGATCTAGCCGGCCATCTTATTGACAGCAAAAATGTTAAAGCGCTGCGACGTCCTAGAAATACATTCCAGAGGAGCTTCATACGAGCGAGTAATGATAGGTAATTGTGGGCATTTCCGACCATTCAGATTGGCAAAAAAGGTTGTTCAAAATAATCTTTACATTTGCATGCTCACAGCATGAGGAAGCACCTTCACTGTCACCTATGATTATAACACTGTCCATGTGCAACGTTTTCACGGCTATGGATGATTGCATCACGGGTTTGAGCAGAATCTGAATCTATACTCTCTAGCCGGTTTGATGCCTCAGCAATATAAATATTTGATACCAAGTCTTCAAATAAATGTTACCATAGCCAAATGTTGGAAGTTTAATTTATACTAAGGAAGCTTGTTAGCTCGAAGTAGGCGTCATAAGACCCACAATAATTTCTCTTGTACAGTTGCACAGAAAACCCATAAAAACAACCCGATCATGAATGAGTTGCGTTACCAGCGTACCTGGTACTTGTCTGACTATGGACGTCATTCACACAGTCCACAATTCTGTCTCAACTTAATACCTACGGTGGTTTTTGTTAGGTTCTCACTTGGCAGCGTAATAGTCGTAAACTATTTTCCATCAACCAAGGCCATCCACAGCATTGGTTATTATTTTGTACCCACAGCAATCGCCCCGAAAACACTAAAAGGATCACAGACGTTCTAATTATGCGAGTGACTACCCTTTTGAAAGACCGCGTATTAGGCAGTACGTACACTAAAATCCCCGGGCCAAACTAAGGATACGTCGCCATGGGTAGGTTGCCAAACCTCATCTTTGCTAGTTGACTGACGACAGAATTATGTAAAAGCTATCTTGAATGCTAAGACAGGGTCATACTGATGATCACTACCCCAAAACAGCGTAACTTTTACAATTCTTCACAGGGATTGTAGCAGTTACCATATTCCTGCACCCAGCGATGTATTATGAATCAACATCCATACGATCTTCGTAAAGCAACATCCATCATCCGCTCTTCCAGGCCATACCTCGGGTGGAAACTGCGGGTTAAGCTCCTTCTGGTACCGACACTGACCGCACTAGCACCTAATCTACCCTTNCCCCACCCGCTCTTCCAGGCCATACCTCGGGTGGAAACTGCGGGTTAAGCTCCTTCTGGTACCGACACTGACCGCACTAGCACCTAATCTACCCTTAAAAACATCCAGCTTCGTTTGTCCCTTCTTCGATATTGTACTCAGAACAAAGTGAGCGAAGCTGAACTACAGTGTGGCTATTGATCGCGCACTTGATTGTCTGACTGAGAGCCTGGAGGTGTAGGGACCTCAGAATGTTTGCGATAGACAAATATCAGGACCCCGCCGTCAACCACTCTTTTCTCCTCTTTTCGATCTGGGGCTTTAAATATAATTAGGTTGACTTTGTGGTTGTACAGTAGTCAACCGTCGATGTCATCATTGATGTTGCTGTATTCAATGTTGATGATGAAACATGTGAAGTCAAATGGCTTGTGTTCAGGGTCATACGCAGTCGCCACTTCTGGTGTTTGATGAACCCGATTTACTGAATTCACAACTGCAGATGTTCACGCCACTAATTAAGCTTGAAATATAAATCTCGTCAGCTAAACTCAGAGCTCCTTGACAGAGGTCAAGGTCAATGTCATTCTGGAATAACCGGTTTCGTTCTAGTGATCCAGTTTTACTCTACTGGAGAAACAAATGGCACTCCCAGAGAAATTTACAAGCACTGAAGCTCACATGAGTAGTCACAGTGGCCGATGCGCAAATGCATTCTGCCATAGGCTTTATTGCACGCCATCATTTCACCAACAGTGTGAGGGTTGGAAACGGGCCAATGTTGCTATGGCACTCTCCACCGTGCCTTCTCAGCAGGATAAGTTAGACAACGAACTGGTCATGGTTTGATGTGGTTTTGTTTACTTTAATGTTCTGTTGTAACCAACATCAGTTTTCACATATAATTTCAGTTGATGTCTGGATGCACATACCAGCAGGGTGGTTGTTGTGGTACTACCAAGCATGACACGTCCAGTGTTGTCTAGAACTCTCCATGCACTCTTTCGCTGACCCTAATGAATTTGGCCGTCGGAGTGCAGTCCTGGACATAAGTTGAACAAATCTCGCTGGTGTAAGTTCGTTCAATTAATACGGATGTTATTCGTGATCAAGCCCCAGCAGTGCAATAATGTACGTTTGGCGTAAGCAACGTCACCCACAGTAATTGGTGTAGGGATGATGGTTGTAGGGAGGTCTCTAGCAAGCGATCAATAATCCACAGTCCGAGTGATGAAACCATTAGAGATACTATATAGCTGTTTCAGTTTTGTTAGCAATCATCGTCCGTGGATATTCTCAAGTCAGTGACCTGACTGTTATGCGAACAGTATCATGTGACAACAAGTTGTTTACCGACAGCGCGACCGCCTTGAGATTTGACAAACTTAAAAAGGTGATATCATCAGCTTAGACTATTGGGGATTCCACGCAGATAACCTCTGTTATTTTCTCAGACCAAACGTGCGCATGAAATCTACTCTTTCAACATTCAGGCACTACAAAAGAAGAGATTTTCGCGATAAGAAGAGACACGGGGATGCTATCTTGAGACGAAAACTGTCAGACCTTTTTCACAAAACTTTTGACATCACAATTGGTTGATGTTGGAACGCAGTGGGTTCAATTCCACTAAAAGTCCAAACCGAACGCAACGACCCTACATTAGCCTCCGTAACTTCCAGTCGGACTTTCGCAACGAAGAAAAATGTAGTGAGAAACAAGTTTGGTTCCCTGGATTCATGCGGTGATACCCAGAGGATAAGTCACCGCATTATATAGAATTTTGATTTCTGTCAAAAATGACAATCTTTTTTAACCGCTTTGCTATTCCTCTTGAGGCGTACGAAAAGGAACGAATGTTGTGGCGCACTGGTAGCTTGGAATGCTAGAAAATTGGAACATCTATGAATAACTGACCTAACCCACCAGATAGCAATATTCTAGGACGACTTTCTGGAACACACACATTGCATTCGCATAGTCAAACCTATTGGTGTCTTTGTGCTTACTCAAAGCTGAGAGAAAATTTTTCAGAGGCTTATGGTTCCCAATAAAGGTGAAACAGCTTTTCACCACGGCCTGGCTTGACTCACAGGAAAAAGTCTCCATCAAAACTCCCATATCTCCTCACTACCATTTGTCCTTGAGTAGCTCAGGGTAAAATAGTTTCTCAAGACGAGTAAAACTTTCATCTGAGAAGTGACCACTTGAGGCCCAAGTCAATGGAGATTCCATGAGTTGAGGACTAGTGCAGCTACATCCTGATTAAATACGACTCAATCACCCTAATGATCAGCAGCTTGCTGCAACATGTTTGTGTTTAGCTGTGGGTTCAAAACGTTCTCAGTTTCGTGAAATGCCCGCGGCCAATGATTTCAACAGAGATGAAAGTGCTCTATAGTGTTTCTGAGACTTCCACTATCGATTGGCTTCACTTACATGAAGGACTCTTAATTTAACTTCCCAGATCTCGTCACGCAACTAACATTATTTTGAACTAATATAAGCGTTATCCAGTGGAGCAGTCTAAAGTGAAAAATAATAAAACATTTTTTTGGCGTGTCTTCAAGTATCTGATTCACCTTGTTCTTCACTTCACCGAGAAAGAATATTGCTACTGGATTGACGAAAGAATCATCAGCAGAGAACTGCTGATGCCTTTATAATCAAGTAGAAAAGCGTTCATTTGATAGAGGATACCATCCTTTTAGAGCTGGGCACGAGAAAACATGACAGAGCTCTGTAAGGTGTATGGTGTTTTATCAATCTTCCAGGTGAGTCGCGCAAACCAATCGTCGTGCGTTTCTGCATACTTCGAGTAATTACCTTGAGCTACCATACAATTCATATTATATGTGATCCAACGAAAGCGGAAATCCGCTAGATACTGACACTATTCGCAGTATAGAGAGGTCTGTTAAACTAAATACAGGCGTTTGTTCCTCCAATCATTATTAGGTTTTGCGTTCTGTACGTGCAAACCAAAGCTTGTAAGAATATAAACAACGTTCGTAATTTTACGTGATGCCGGCACGAATCAAAACTCGTGCTTGATCTGATTGTCAGTTGCTTCCAGCAAGGTCACTGGCTCATGATTTCAGTACTGCATAACAGTTATCATTTGATCGTGCATCAAGGCCGGAGTGACAATAGGCCTTCCATCTTTCGCTAGTATGAAACATCCGCGGGCCTTCGAACAGATCTTTCAGCATGTAACTGCACTCACGTGGGTTTCAATGTTCCTTGGTTTTGCCGTGACTGGTTGGATTGTTTGGCTCAGCCTAATATCTTGGTCAGTCGTTGAAGCTTATCACTTGTCCAAGATTATTCACGCCAGCGGAACGACATCCGAATCGGAAACCCTGTTGCGACGTGGTATAAAGCTTACGCTTGCTATCTCCTTTATCTTCACCTACGGGCTCTTTTGGTGGAATGACAGGGGTTCAGAAGAGCGTGGAAGCCACCCACGTATAATCATGCGCACTCTACCGGTTTGGAAGAAGCTTCAACAGTACTTTCCAATCAACCTGGTACTGTGTGAAGATATCATGGATGTAAATCCTTCTGTGAAAAGTGCAAGGTCAGCTCAGGCGGGTGAACATCAAACTGTGGTGGCTTCTAATCCCTCATTATTTCCAACAAATCGAAACTACCTCGTTGGCTATCATCCACACGGGATCTTTGGCGTTGGTGCATTTGTTAACTTCGCCACTGAAGCTAATCAATTCTCTACACTGTTTCCTGGCCTAAAGCCGTGGATAACAACCCTGCCGATCAACTTCAAAGCACCGTTTCATCGAGATTTTCTTATGAGCTTTAGTAAGTCATTTTTTACTTTCAAGGTTCTATTAGGACATTAGCGAAATCACAGATATCATTAGTTTCTGTCATTAGTAATCATTACTGCTAACGTAATGTGGATTCAATAACAGAATAATACTCATGAAATTGATGAACTGTGAATCTCATCCCATATACTACTCTGGAAGGAAATTCCATGGAAATCAGGGTTACTAGCGGTTAGGTAAACATATCATATCTCTATCACAAGGTTTAACATATGTTCGTCACTCACATTATCGCCCGCCGTTGCTTTATTGAAAATTAAGGGAAACTGATGGTAATACGGGAGCTTTCATGGTTGTTTCTGTCCACATTTTTCAAACTCTAAAAAGAATCTTGTCTAGCTCTATTCAATGGTTTTAATAGCAGTGAGCACCTTCACTCAACTGTCAAGATATTGTCACTATTTTGTCAATATTTGGTCGGAATGATTTCCACAGCAAACAGGTGCGGAGGCTGCGAAATTAAGAGCACATCGTTTCACCAAAAAAGTGGTATGGATGGTTAGCGATCTATTACTTGGTGCACAGCATTTTGTGGAGATAGTTAACAGTAAGGTAAACTTGCTCATTTGAGATCCCACTTGACGTCTCGGTATACCAACCCGAAAATTATCGACTGAGAGGCACATAACAGAAGTACGAACGCTTTCTCTTATTCCGGTAGTAAAGCTGAAGAGACCAGCTAGCATTACCAGTCAAGGTTTAGCAAGAGATGACACAATATGTTTCATTTATCTTAGCCACACGAAAGAATTAATGATTGTGGATCTGGTAAACGTTGATCTGTTGCTGAGCTCGACTTTTCGAGTGAAATATTGGCAGTGACTGAGTCCACTTGGATTTAACTCAGTTTTTCGCTGCTTATTTGAAAATGATTTATCTACGCCTAGATGTGTTCTTAAGACGGGTATCAGAAAGTTGGTGATCGAGGCTAAAGACTGACTGCATTTGCTAGGTCGATGGCATGCTCATTTTGATGTTAGAAAAAATGAGGGAGTTAAATGAGCTGGAGTGAGTAAGTGATGTCACCCAAAGACCAAGTTTACGACCGCTAGGCGTTGTGCAATAGAGAGCCACTGTCTGTCAACAAACCAACATAAGAAATAGTAGAATAGTGGAGTTTTGTTTTAAGACTGTATGATATGGGCGTTTTCATCCAAAAACACTCATATTCAAATACTTTTCAAGCCCGAAATTCAGTGGAACTCCTTATTACAACGTTCGCTGTGCTTTAAATTCCTTTTTTGTATTGCGCAGCACGAAACGTTCACTGTTTCATAAGACGGGGAGTTCCGGACTGAACACCTTTCAACTAGGACCAGCATTCAAATTCTGCTGTGTCCAGCTAACAAACGGAAGTTAAGTACAACCAACATCAGAAGACTGCTGGGAACGTCGAATGAAGCCTTTCTATTGGTTGCAATCTTTGTGACATTTTTAACTCCATGCCTAATTATGGAGGGACCATTGGTTAGAACTAGACTATTTTCTCAAAAGGCATCTCAGCTGAATTGAAACCTGCATTCTCCCAGCACGTAATTCATTTGCTTAATTTTTTAAACTTTTGGGCCACCTATGGGCCTTCTAGCTGACATAGGTCCATCTCTTCCTCATTCTGTTCATATTAGTTTCATAGTCGGGCAAATGATTGAACTGCACAAATTTGGAATATCTAAATAGTCTTTTGGTTCTCCTACTTTGGGAACGCCATTTGGGCCGCTTACTTTGGCTTAAAGCTTACTGAGCCGTTGTTTCTGGGGTCACTCTCCTCGTCGTCCATTATCTAATCCTTCATTCGCTATACTGACTAAAAATTTGACTCTTTCACATTCAACAGTGGTTATGTTCCCGAGTTCTAATCTGTAGGGATCATATCACTTCGGCTTGAAGTCAAGGATGCTTCCGTTCATTTTTTATGTCGCTACAGTGACCCGTATGGCTAGATAATACCATGAAACTTCGCTCTTGAATGCTCCTTGGTCGTTCATTAAATTGAGGAAGCGACGTATACAAATCGTACTAATTCACGCAATGGCACGGTGGAAATCACCCGCTTTCAGTACACGAAAAACTGAACCAGTGATCCACAATAATTCACTAAATTTCTGTGTAAAGGATGGATGGGTTGTGCCCGCCGGGGGCATTAGTTTGCCCCTTCACTGATTTCGACAATAAATCAGCGCCCCACATCAAAAATATGTGTACTCCCTTCCTCCCCTATGTTTCCACAGGCGTTTTGCACCAAAATTAACCTCAATTGCATAACTCTGTTCTTGAGGCGAAGTGATCTGATTAGGCCTGAAATTCTCCAGAAGGCTGATAAGCATCGTCTACTTTGGACTGTCACGTGAACAGATTTCCCACGAAAGCTTCCATTGGTGAGGAACGCCCACACATTAGATAAGCGTTTACTTTTTCATTATTACTCGCAACCTTCTGATCCCTGGTGTCTTGGAGTACAGTACCCAACTAACAACCGTCAGTTTTATCAAGCTGACAAAAACCATAATTTCAAAAAGAGTTGCGCTTCAGGATCAGTTATCTTCATAAAAGCAATCAATTCAACGCTACTCTGAAAAACACTGGTTGAAACACTAGAGGGGTTTCAATTCGCGCACCACCTGAGTGCAGAAGCAATCGATGACTATTCCTACACTTCTAGCGGACAGATCTGCCAAGAACACACTGGGGCATTCCACTAAGGAGTTTTAAAATCATTAAAGACACTGCTCAACAAGTAGACTTTAGTTGACAGCTTAGTTACTGGTCTCTATCCGTATCACAATTTCGTACTGACATGCACGCACGAAATGTCCCACCACAAATGTACTTGGCTCATAAATTTCCCAATACATCCCGAGATGGCTCATGACAATTCATACTGGATCAAACCAGGAAGATGAAACTACCGTGCCAGGATTCTTAATGAATCCCCGAAAAATCATTTTTTTCCATAATACAGTTTCGATTATCAGATTTCACGGATCAAGCTGATTTTAGTGCTCGTCAATTTTCTAACATCACCTACAAAATAACTGCTGAAAACAATGAGAATTCGAGAACAAAACCAGGAGATTTGATGTAGGGGACAATAAAATTCATACTTATCATTTCCGCCATAACATAATACGGACTGTTTGGGTGAAACGACACGAATTCGGAGGAAACTGGAGGTCACACGCATCGGTCTCTACACACTTTACACATTTAAAAGAAACAAGGATATTTTCTTGTTAGGTCCATTATCTCACAGAACATTACAGGACGGAATTCTGTCGAAAATCTTTTGAACACCAGGCAACGCCGAGCAAGGACATGTCACTTTGATAAGACCGGGGTTTTATCTTTTTATTTATTTCGCTTGGGTATTTATTTATCTATTTACTTATTTATTTTATTTTTATCAAAACGACCTCGTTTTTTATCATCTACATGGATTTTTTGGAGTTGGAGCCATTGTTAACGTCACTCCAGAAACCAATGAAATTTCCAGAGTGTTTCCTGGTGTAGGGCCCTGGATTACCTCAGTCGAACTTTATAACACCTCTCCAACAAAACTAACGCATGAGTTCCAGTGAGTTCGAGGCTACAAAATCGTTCATCCTTGTCGTCAGCGACCCACAGAGTAAAACGTCACTTGCTTCCACAAAAAACACAAATTTCAAGAATTATACCAGACCCCTTAGTGTTCACAGCACAACGATCAGATCTCTTAGTTTCTACTCAAAAATCTTATTTGTTGGGTCCTCTGTTAATTTGTGGCGTTCATTCCAAAAATGACACCCTCATACGGTCAGCTAAGAACACAAAGTCTCTAGAGTTATCCCAGTTATCCGTTTATGTCCTGTATTGTTTAAAATTGTTAGTTTGTTAACCAGCATGGCATGGGAGTTAAGTCCCAGAAACGTGATTTCCTTTTCTACTCAACGGATTTCTACACAAAGAGGGAGCAAATCACCCTCTGGCCACCGAATGAATAACCCTTTGTGATTTGCACCTGGTTTGATACAGTCTTAGACAAATGCCTACATCAAGTGCGTCAGAGACAAGGAGCAGAGCGATACCCAATGACACAGGACATGTGACAGTGCAAAACAATATATATTGTTGGAAAGACAACTATACCTTCCTAAGGGAAAGAAATTCTCCTTAGCTTTAGGATTTCCTGAACGTGAGCACTCCAAATTACGATGACGAAGCTCCCATGGCAATTGAGGGGGCTAAAGTATTTTCCGAACTGCCAGTTTTTCCACCAGAACTGCTAAAACAATATTCTTTTCTTGTAAATGGGTAGTTATCACACGCATGGGAATTCACGGAAAATTTCTAACGTGTTAGTGTGTATTAACTCTGTGGAAGTTTCTTGTAATGGGGCGTTTTCTTTGTTCATACCTACCAACAAAAAGCACTTCCAAGGACGAAGCTAATGAGTACGCTGGCTGCCGATGACAGTCATTCTTCCGTCTTATCCCGTCACAAGCTGGCCCAAGCAAACTGGCTTACTTAGAACACTGTCTCCTGAATAAAGTAATGCCTCTGAAGGGACAAGGACACCTGCTGAGAAGTCTGACGTAGTTGGCAAAACAGATGGCTGTCCCGTTTTCAGCAGGTGAGACACTCTTTTTCGAGTTCACCCTACTTACGTCGCCAGGGAACCAAACACACAGGACATCTGATAAAACGAACAACTCACTGATGATTCCCCCAAGCCATTGGTTCCCCAGAAGAATTGTGCCATTTTTATCCTCGAGCTGGTCACTTACGTAACAACTTACCACATAGCAGTAGACAAGAATCCAGTATTCCGGTGCTCAGGTTCTACCACTCATGATCCTGGTACATCATCTGAAGGGGTGCTTCTTTCAAATGCATGAAACCGCTTGCTCCAATGAGTCACCATACCAGGCGGAGAAATTCAGGAAGCATTGTATTCATGCGGATTCCTTAGATACTGCTTTCAAATTGCTCACTGATATTTCACACTATGTTTAAAATCAGAGCGACTTTTGGTATAAGGGTAACACATGGTTTTGTTCACATTTAGCTTTTCTCTCGTCTGGTCTCTGCAGATGTGATCTCGGCAACCTACAAAGGGATAAGCTATTTGTTGGATCCCGGAAAATGTGGCTCGACTGGTAATTTTGTGGTCATCGTTATGGGAGGTGCACCAGAAGCTTTGGATTCCCGACCTGGAAAATACATCTTCCATACAAATAAACGTTACGGATTTTTCAAATTAGCTCTCATGACTGGGTAAGTGCATGAAAATGAGTTACCGTTTGAATTGCAAAACTATGTGCTTCTTTCGTTTGATGAGCGCAGAGGGAATTCGCACACGAATGCAACATGGTAACAAGTGTGGGTTTATTTATCACCTTTCCTCCCTGGCCACCTATTTACATGATGAGGAGTCACACCCGCGTGTATCAAAGGTGAATACATGAAACGGTTTATTGAAAGCTACTCACACTTCCTATATAGGGTGCTACCCACACTGAACTCTTTGGTCTCATTTTTCAGCTCTATTACCTAGTTTCTCCACAGATTCCTTCTGTCCTCACGGAACTACCGCGTGATCAAATAAACTAAGGGTGGCAAAAGTAAGCTCATTGGAGATGACCTACTGAAAAGGGATCTCAGTAGGTAGGTATAAAAGCGTCCGGAACGGTAACGGGTGACCGTAAATTTAGTATCGGGTCGGAGAAACTCTATAGTGACGTCCAAGGTACATCTGTTAGTGAATCTACGAAAAATTCTCAAGTTAGGTCGTAGGCGATTATGTAAAATGGTAAACTTAGTGCGTCAGCTCAAGTTCACCTCAGGTATTCGTACTACTAACATCTATTGGGCGACTACATCGCTACAGAGAGGTTGATTATTTTCACGCCGTTAGATTAGCCGTGGAAACTGTGCTTTCGATTCAAAAGAGTCATTTTTTGCACTCGACATTACCATATTCGTTGAGTGCAACTGCCGCTTAAATAGGCTTGAGTATATTTCAACAATGGAATACTCACCGCGAGAAACAACGTGACTGGTTACCAAGTCGATCCGAAACATAGGGTAAAGAAGAAATTTTTGTCATGAGTGCAACAAAGAGACTCGATAAACGCCGAAAGAATTGGATGCCACCCGTTTTAACTCGCCGAAGGGGGAGGGTTGTTTGAAGAAATGGATCCTTCCAACCGTCTGACTTCGACGTTGATGCCATGGGGCAGCTTCCATATGAAGATGCATCTTGAAATCAATGATTGCTACTTGGACATCATTGTGATTGTAGTAGACGTGCTCAAAGCCGGTGAAACCAGCATCTCTAGAATGAGAATTAAAATCAGAATAATCAAAGTCTTTCTGGTATGTTCTATGTCACTGATATATAGCTGTGGGAGGAAACGTAATGTATACCACTTTGCGTGGTAGAAGTCTCCGGAGAGTTTCAATCGGAAAATCGATATAGATCTTACATAAAATTTTACCATCTGGTAGTATGGGTAATAGGCTGTTTTTTGCCTTGCTTCTAGATACTTACATGGACAATTACAGACCTGGCGAGGAGCTTTGGTCCTAATAAGAAAAGCACTCCGTCACCCCAGTAATGGTTTTAGCATCGGCATAGCAGATTAAATTCGCGTTGCATCAGAGCGATAGACTACACCGTCCGTTATTTTGGTTTCCGTTTAGCTAAAAATTTGGTAGGTGTACATGATAGTAAGCATAAAACGTTTCATTGGGCACAACTGTAGATGTACGTAAGAGTTACTTGTATGGAGTCGCCCAACAATCTAATGATTCTTTCTATTCTGTCCTTGGGAGATCATGTAAGTGGGAAAAAAGTGAAATAAAACTCACTCACATCTAAGTGACGGTCCATATTATCCTTAATCACGTTGTGACGAACCGCTCAATTTTCCCGGTATCAAATGAGAAGAAAACATCAAGTGCGAAGTTTGTGCAAGTCAACTCCTTCAAGGAAAGAATGTTGTTGGATTGGGTTTTAGGCATTACGATTCATTAACATCCCTCAATCAGGAAAGGATTGCTGTGGAGAAATTTTAGCCTCCGTATTGGAGTTAGCTTGCTTCGTTAAATCCCCCATTATGTTGGTTTTCTTTCCTGCTTATGAGGCAGTGGGATAAACAAGGTACCAAACAAATACGCATACTTAAGCTCAAAATGGTCCAATGCCTCAGAATCTCAAATGTTGCGGTTGCAGTTGGCTGAAGCCAGGGAGGATTTACCAGAACTTGACATTTAGCTTGTATGCGCCCGCGAAATCCTCATCATGAGCTAATTAACATCGCTATTTTAAGAGCAACACTTTATGTAAGGCTGAGGTTTGGCTCCTCAAACAATGCATTTCTAAATCTCATATTCGTAACTCCCGTATCATCTTGGTCTGACAGTGTCACTGTCTTTTCCAATTGTTTGGAAAAAGCGTAAGACTCTAATTACTTTTCAAGACGTGATTACGCATGACTGCCTACCTTTGTACTCCGATGAACATTTACTTTATTCTAGGATCGTGCAAGATGAGATCAACCGATAAATATGAAACAATCACATTATGGTGAACATGTAACCATTGGTAGTACCCTTGAAAGAATAATACCATCCATTTCAACACCCCGTAGTTGTAAGCCTCAAATTACGATAGAATTACTATGTTTCTCATGACAAACCAAGATGAGAGGAGTGAAAGGCCACCATAGAAATTAGTTTATAATTGTTTAGTCGATATTTAGTGACAAAATAATTTCCATCACTCTTAGAATAAATCTGGTTGATGATACCCCAATACATTATTCAATAAGGCGGACTGCTATCATGAAGTTAATCGCACCACCACTATAAAAACCTAGATGTCGGCAGAGCGCGATTCGGTCCACTTCGATCGTCGTCGTATAACGAAACCTCTTCATTGTGGAAAACATGTGCAAATCCAACGCCAGGCTGTTGAGAACTTGTTTATTTTCCAATTTGTAACTTCGGTTATCATTCCATTGATATCCAGCAACCCACTTTTCCCTTCTAGACTTTCAGTCTTCTACTATCTTGTCCGCAAACGTGTATTTTTTGGTGAGCCATTTATTTACCATGGGAAGTAATCGAATTCGCCTCCCACAGGCAAAGTCTATTACGGTGTTCTTGATTGATGATACAACCAGGATCTAAAAAACAAGAAACAGTAAGCACTGCTTTCGTATACGTCCAGTTTCAAAAGAGTAAACAGGGAACGTTCACAAGAAAAGTGTCTACCCAGGAGTCTCTATGGAGCTTCATATCAAACAGTTTGTTTTTGGCGATGCTACGGAACATTCGTAGCTAAGATAAATTTGTTTGCTTTCGGCCTGTTTGTTGGTTTGTTACCCAGTTACGAAGCTCAGTGAACAAGGTGAAAGCTTTTCCTCATCGACTAATTAGGGAAATTATTTCTATTCAACGCCTTGAAGGAACATCAGCGTAGAGTACTAGCACTAATGAATTCATTATGCTTGGTAGCTTTAGGTCTACACCGCACCTTAAAATCGTACACTGCTGCAAATCTGTAGTAGTTTTAACTTCCCAGAAATCTACACAATGTGTAGTGCTGTCAGCTGTTAAAAAAATCACAAGAGGTGTGCCATGTCCCTCGATTTCCCATCAAAGATTGACGCAGCACCTAGGGTGACGCCTCGGGTGAGATTTATACCCTCAATGTTCAAAACCTGATCCTCACACTGCTTGGATTCCATAACAGACGACTAACACCATCTATTCAATGACCTTGATGGAAGTCACGGGGTTACGTAAGAGAGGCACCCGTATGTGTAGGAGCATGGGGGACACGCGATAGTGAAATGGTGCAGCTGAGAAGAGAATCACACTGTGAATTACTGAATCACACTGTGTCAAATGCACACCATCAAATTTACAGGAAGGGCATTGCAATCTTCATATGTCAGTTGTATCAAAATAATGCCTTCATGTTGCTAAAACGCTCGAGGAGTGAACAGTGGCGCCCGTTGGGGAATTGGAGGATACCTTAGGTTTGAACAGCGCTGTTTCTCTTGGCTAAACCTCCCATTTGTGCTGTGCCTTGGTCAACCAACAGTTCACTTAGATCATCAAAGGACGAGTTGATTTAGATTCAAATTCATCATTTGAGCTGCATTCTCTGACACTCACTTGCCGTAAGAAACATTTTATTCTGTTTTTTGACAGCACTCCACTCGTCCCGTGTGTTTCGTTTGGTGAACCAAATATGTACCACCAGGTGAGAAACCCACCTGGATGTCGTTTGCGAACCTGGCAAGACAAGTTCACCGAATTTGCTACCTTTTCAACACCACTGTTCTACGCTCGAGCGCTGCTGCCATATCGTACTCCAATAAATACCGTAGGTAAGCTCATTTTCCCATATAAGCAATGACAAAACTAGTTGAAGACAGCAACACCTTAAGTCGAGATTTTACCTGCTTCCACATTTCCTAGTGACACTTTTGGAGAGACAGTAGCCAAACCTAGAAGCTTCAAACGGTCACGTAACACTAGTCTTTTCAATGGAATATTCTCTGGTGTAGATGCACTACTCAGGTGGAAAAAATTTCCGTTGAATATACTGCCTCATCTGTTTGGTTAGATGCCTATTTACTCACCAAGTTGGGGTAGCATTTTCAAACGTAACATCAGAGGCGTGACAACTCAGCCACGGCTACCACCGGCTCAGTGGTGATTTCAACTCGACCGATGTCTAGTTACCTGCACCATATCGGCCAACGCTGGTGAAAAAAATCATTATCTAAGTGGCCTTCTGGATTTACTGTACTTGAAGTATTTCGGAAAAAACATCAGTTATCGTACTTTCGTAATCTGTTGTCCCCGTTCAAGGTTAAACAGCCCCTATTTAGTCAAAGTTGTTTTGATTCAACTGTAATAATAAGGTAAGGTTTTTACCTGCGAGATCTTCAACGCTTCTCTTGCCCTTTCACCAATAACTGGTTTGAATACCAACCAAGTTACTGTTATCAGTCTTATGAACGTTTAACAGAGGGCCTTGCAATTTTTCCGTTCAAAACTGACTGCGTTCAAACTGACTAAGTTGCTTCAAGACGTTTTTAATTCAGTTTGAATGAACGGCTCTCTCACCAGGCACAAACCTCCTTGCACATGGCCACAATATTCCGTCGATCTGTTGGTATTCATTGAGACATACTAAAAAAGGGTCTATGTGACGCTTACTGTAATTGGCTGGAGACAGTGAACGATATGGCGGCTAACTGATATCCGTGGTGTACACGGTGTTAGTTTCTAGCCCGACTGTCTGGCTGAGGTTTGCATGTGTAGGCGACACGACTGTTCGTTACAGGCTAGCCTTCGATCCCCCCATGCCACATTCTTTTCTCAATTATAATGCTTTATTCAGACAGATCGAAATGGTTGTACGTCACTGAAGTGCCATTGCTCTCAGCCGGTGTTGTTGTCAGTGATGATGGTGAACCCAATAAGAACGATAGACTTGATAGATGAGTGATTTAAATCCGAATTGGATTCGCCTACCAACAGTGGCTGAGCCACTGAATGCCTGCGGGCAGTATGAAGCCACAGAGGCCAAATGGTGTGTCGCCAACAAGCACCGATGTAATCCCGAGGGAATAAGATTGACGGACGAACGTTCACGGGCTCATTGCAACTCATCAGCTGGCTCAGACATGATGGTATAATAATGGGAATCGGCACTAGCTACCCATTTACCATCCTGGTGTCGCCGCCATCCGTCAAGCCCTCTAATTTTCACCTGATACATACATATGAACTCCGCATGTCTTGTATGTAACAGGTGGAGCAACCTGTTTTTCCCAGGTGATTATCTTTCTTAAAAATGTAGACATCTGTTTCTAAACATGGCTTCCTCTCAGTTTTGACAAAGTGCTCGATATTCTTTCTTTACACTAAAAGCAGTGAACATGCATATCTAACGTGCCCTTTGTACGAGACGCTGATGAAGCCACTCTAGACTCTGGCCACTCGCTAAACCCATAACTACGAAATGTCGAGTATGGCCATGAGCAGCATTCGTTGGCAACTGAAGGCAAGCTCGGCTCATACTCAGACATGCACCTTGACAAGGCCAGATTAAAATAACCTATGTCTGCGAACTCACTGTTCGAAAGCGAGCTCCGTGGGAATCTCACGGAAGTCAGAGGTAGAAATGGAGTATTACATCGTCACATGGGTGAAAAAATAAATGAGGGGTAGAGAAGGGCTTGGTCCTTACTCATCCACTAGGGTTACTATACAATGTAAAAGCATGGCCATATATTTTGGTGTACATCTTTGCTCCTCGGAGCAACCCGGAATTCGGACACACTTGGCAGGTCGGTGCACCATGTGTGCTGGGAAAACTGCCAATCTACTCATTGTATCCAGTGTACAAATCCTCCCTTATTTGACTAACAATCCCCCGTTGGGCAGATATAACATGGCTCAAGTAGTCAGTTTCACCACGGGGCGGTAAACGTTAGTCGCAAACCGACTGTCACTCATACGTAAATTAGATCCTATTTTCTTGAATTGTTTAACGTGACACTTTTCCTTCAAACACGTTAATACTGCCCACTCCTCGTGACCGAAACTGAACAATGCTTTTTTTAAACCGCACTTCCTTTGCAGTCGGAGCTCCTATTCCAGTCCCAAAGGTTCCCATTCCAACGCGGGAACAAATCTCCTCTCTGAAAGAGCTCTACCTAAACCAGCTGAATCAACTTTTCAAACGATACAAACCCATTTATGACCCAAATGCGTGTGATTTGGAATTTTTTTAATGACGTGTACTCTCGACAGGTTCCATCAATGTAACCGTTTATTGCAATGTCCAGTTTGTCTTCCATACATCAAGTGCTGAATTTTCCGAGGCAAGTGAACTGCATAAATAAAACGGCAAGTTGAATCGGTATTTTAGCTTCGAGGAAGTATTGTTCCAACAAACGGACATTGGGTGATTAATACAAGCTCTAAAATTGAGAGATCGTCTTCCGCTTCCGACAACAGTTTCAACAAGCATTTTTCCAACATTTATCTGGTTCATGTTCGAGATAGTTGACGGATATGGGAGTGCAGTACACCAGTCGCACCTCTATAGATTGAAAACAATATTTGTGTTGTAAAGAATCAGTGTCCAGTGAATCGGGTACAATGCACTAGTGATCAAACACAGCCCTTTGGTTCAAATAAGATATAGAAGAACCGAACGAAACTTGAGCCATGGTGCAGGGACCATCAACCATGTTGATGGCTAATAGTGCCAAAACATTTGCAAAATTCCAACGGAGGATTCATCCTTTAATTGAAGCCAGTCTGTTCTGGAAAGCCGAGGAGCACCCGCAGAGCGCATCTCATGAAACTCCAGACTTTCGAATCCGCGGTCTCCTGGCTAGTGGTGTGAACATGTAGCCATTCGGCCACGAGCGGCTTATCAGTAGTGTGACTGACTCACATAAATGGATGCGCCTAGACTAGGTGCCGTTCAGCCGCTCGTAACCGTACGGTTAGCTGCTCAGACTACTAGTGAACCGGTCGCAGCTTCGCAGTCAGTGAGATGCGCGCTGCTAGTGCTTTTCAGCATGGACTGGCGTCACTCACAGGACACTGAAAATATTCTTTAGCACTGATACAGGGACCAAACACTGTCCTCTTTTCCAACTGTTTAGTTCCATACCATCAGGTTTGGCATTTATGTACACATTTCAACATTCCAGGAATTTATGTGTACTAGGAATAGAAGAGCTTTATCCGAAACAGTAGACTGCTGACATTACATTTGTTCCAACCAAATATGATGGAAAACGAATTTGATTAATCCAACTGCGAATGTACCAACCCACCATCAGTGCAAATATCGCTCAAGCTCTAGATGGCATTGGGAAGAAACAGATCACGTGTGCAACCGTTGTCTGGTGCACTGTTCGCTGCAAGGTGTTGGGACGGGAAAGACAGCTGTTGACACACAATGTCAAGGTGAAACCTTATGGATCTGTTGACAGAAGGCTTCGCTATGAATGGGAACGAAGCAATAATACCTTATAGATGTAATAGACTCATGAGGTTGCTGGAAATTCTTCGACAGCAACCTTATGAGTAGTGCATTACGTCTACACATGTATCGCGATATCCTGAATATCGTAACAACTGAAACACGGAGCGGTCTGATGCAGCACATTCAGATGCTTAAAAACACCATAAAAGAGATTCAGCTGGGTTCCAGGCGGATCTCTCGGAAAATTAAATTGGTTTGCAAATGAGTGTGTTCCGCCAATAATACTTTACTTTGAAATTTCGGAAGTGGCACGAGGTTGAAAAGTAACACCGATATAAGGTACAGTACACTATCCAGCATAAAGCATTCGTTGTACAAAACAAGGAAATAAGGGAGACAATATGAAGCAGTGACAACTACTCCAAACTAAAGAATTAGGGACCAAAAGTAAACTTAACGTGGACCGATATTCTTAGCTTTGATCTTTTCGATTAAATGAATGAATACACGATAAGCGGAAGTTTTTATTGCCTTTTATTGCTACTATGTACCAGACCAATCACATGCAAGGCCAGCTGGGTGTAAACAGCTGACTGAGTATCGATTCTGATATGATCGCATCAATCACGGTTATTTGAACATTTACGTCGTTCATCCATACAGCAATTCAATGACAATAGCTAAATTATGCATCCACTCGCACTTTGCATACGGCCAAGAACCCATTCTATTTCAACATAACATACATAACAGTCTACCAAACCATGATTCAAATAACTCCAACCGAAAGACCCTGACTGATCGAGACGAACTCAAAAGCACCCAGTACGGAAGTCCTCAAGGTGATTTCCGATGTTATAAACGACCATCCAAAGGTATATGGAAAGAGTCGGATGATTCGTCCGTACAACCGTTGAAAAAGGTGTGCACACTGGATAGATTATTCAATGAGGATAGTCACAGCGAACTGGATTACAGCCTCAGCGTCGCATATAATATGTCTCTATCAGCAAATGCTCTCCAGATGTTTAACGAACCCGCGCTTTCCAGAGGTAGAGATGAACAATCGCTACCACCAAATATTGGCGCGAACAACACGAATGTACACCTGTGAGCTAGGTTCTCGCAAGATGAAGAAAAACAGTTAATCCGGGGTTTGAACGTTTTTCCTTTCCCGTCGATTTGCTTTGGCGCCTTTTTGATGATGTTTCTGTAAAATAAAAAACCGTCTTCCGTAAAGTTAGTTTCTTAAATGAGACAAGTCAGTCCATAAAAATTTACTCAAATCATTCAGACTGTCCCAGCAGTGATTACTGGTGGAGTTCGGCAACAGAGAAATGGTCTCTTTGTATATTTCTGCGTTTTGGGTCCCACACAACGTTTCGCGAATTCAAGCTGATTCCTAAGCTACGTGCCCTGGGTGGAAAAATTTAGGCTCCCGATTAGGTGAGATGACAGCGGTAGATTATCACTGCCATTGTAAGATACGATAAAAGCGAATAACTTCCAGCTTGAAGTTTCAGTACTCGGTAGTGAACAGATTCAGTTCAAGGCGTCGATCTATGAGTATATTTTTTTCTTCA